TTCATTGGCTTGAACAAGGCCTGTCCATAATTCTGGAATGTCATGATGAGTTTGAGCTGGGTGCCTCCCGACTTCATGGCTAGGGAAAGAAAAAGAGGAGGAAAATTTCAGGGGAAAAAAAAAATCCATAAAGCTGCACCATATGGCTTGGCTGGCACCTAGCAATGTTAACTTAGAAATTACCCATCTGCGGAGATATGTTTATTTATGCTGCAATCGGTATAAAATAAGAATATAGCGTTGGTTTAAGCATGAATATGTTGACTTTTCTTTCAGTCTGGAATGGACATGGGGAGGAAGCAATCGTAGAACATAGAATCATAGGGGTGAGAAGGGACCTCAGAGGTCTTCTAGTCCAACCCCCTGCTCAAGGCAGGACCTCTTATACCGAAGGTCTGCAACCATAAATCCTCAAAGAGCCATTTGGACTCGTTTCCCACAGAAAAGAAAACACCGGGAGCCACAAAACCTGGGTGGGCGTGGCCAACTCGATGTCACTCATTTCCACCGGTCACATGACCCCCCCCTAGCCACGCCTACCCAGCCAGTCATTAGGGCAGAGAACCAGTTGTTAAAAAACACCGGGAACCACAAAATCCTTTTGACATATCTCTCTCTCTCCCCCTCCCTCCCTCCCTATCTCTCTCTTATCTCTCTATGTCTCTCTCTTCCCCTCTCTCTGTATCTCTCTCTGTTTCTCTCTCCCCGTCTCTCTGTATCTCTCTATGTCTCTCTCTCCCCCTCTCTCTGTATCTCTCTATGTCTCTCTCTCCCCCTCTCTCTGTATCTCTCTATGTCTCTCTCTCCCGCTCCCTCTGTATCTCTCTATGTCTCTCTCTCTTCCCCTCTCTCTGTATCTCTCTATGTCTCTCTCTCTTCCCCTCTCTCTGTATCTCTCTATGTCTCTCTCTCTTCCCCTCTCTGTATCTCTCTATGTCTCTCTCTCTCCCCCTCTCTGCATCTCTCTCTGTATCTCTCTCTCCCCCTCTCTCTGTATCTCTTTATCTCTCTCTCCCCCCCTCTCTCTGTATCTCTCTCTCTCTCTTCCCCTCTCTCTGTATCTCTCTATGTCTCTCTCTCTTCCCCTCTCTCTGTATCTCTCTGTCTCTCTCTTCCCCTCTCTCTGTATCTCTCTCTCTCTTCCCCTCTCTCTGTATCTCTCTATATCTCTCTATCTTCCCCTCTCTCTGTATCTCTCTGTCTCTCTCCCCCTCTCTCTGTATCTCTCTGTCTCTCTCCCCCTCTCTCTGCATCTCTCTATGTCTCTCTCTTCCCCTCTCTCTGTATCTCTCTGTCTCTCTCTCCCCCTCTCTGTATCTCTTTATGTCTCTCTCTCTCTTCCCCTCTCTCTGCATCTTTCTGTCTCTCTCTCTCCCCCTCTCTCTGTATCTCTTTATATCTCTCTCTCTTCCCCTCTCTCTGTATCTCTCTATGTCTCTCTCTCTTCCCCTCTCTCTGTATCTCTCTATGTCTCTCTCTCTTCCCCCCTCTCTGTATTTTTCTGTCTCTGTCCTGGCTGCTTCTCCCACCCCTCGCCGTTGCCCTTACCTTCTCAGGCCAGGCGAGGAGTGATTGGGAGGGGAGGGCCAGCCAGTAGTGGGATCACCTGACAGGGAGCCACAGCAGAGGGCCCTAAGAGCCGTATGTGGCTCCAGAGCCGCAGGTTGCTGACCCCTGTCTTATACCATCCCAGTTAAGTGGTTGCCCAGTCTATTCTTGAAAACATTGACTGATGGAGCACCCACTACACTGGGAGGCAAGCTATTCCACTGATGAACTGTTCTCACTATTAGGAACTTCTCCTTAATTCTAGATTGGATCTTCCAATCCTGAAGTGTTTTGGATTAACAAATTAACTCCTTCTTGACTCTGTTGTTATATCCTCAAAGCCCCCAAACTTTAACCTTAGACTGTCTACTGTTGACCTCACCCCATTCCTAAGAGGTCCATAAAGGGGGCATGCATAAGCGCACCAACGTGCCTTCCGTTCAATGGTGGGTTTCAAAAATTTTTACTACCGGTTCTGTGGGTGTGGCTTGGTGGGCGTGGCTTGGTGGGCGTGGCAGGGGAAGGATACTGTAAAATCTCCATTCCCTCCCAATCAGCTGGGACTTGGGAGGCAGAGAACAGATGGGGGCAGGGCCAGTTGGAATTTTTACTACCGGTTCTCCAAACTACTCAAAATTTCTGCTACCGGTTCTCCAGAACTGGTCAGAACCTGCTGAAACCCATTTCTGGAAGGAAGGATTAAAATCTGAAATGGCCATCTTATTTTGCAATCCTAATTTGCTTTAGACTTCACCCCCTTTCCTTTGGCCCACTTTATCTCACCCTCAAACTGGAGCTATTAGCTATACATTCCTTTAATTACTCCTTCTGGTGTAATCTTTTTTTTTTTCCCCATGCTTTAAAATGTTATGCAAATTTGGTCCGTTTAATTACTCTTATGCTCCAGGGGGAAAAGAGAGAGAGCGAGAGAGAGAGAGAGAGAAAGGGAACTTCCCGCATTGGGTTGGTTTTTTTTTTTTTTTTTTTTTTTGCTGATCCCAGCTTTTTCTCACATTTTACTCAACTTATCCTACGGGGAGAAAAAATTAAAAAATTAGAAATGAAAGGTTGTCCAGCAATCTGCGCTGAAAACAGCCTGGAAGGAACATGGAGATTTCCCATATTAGATGAAGCTGATATGCCGAGTAGGCTAATTTTTTTCCGGAGGGCGTTTAAGGTTAGACAAACACATCATTCTTCTTTTCTTTCTTTCTTTCTTTCTTTTTGAAAGAAAACAACAGCTCCGGGAGTTTGCTAGGTTTCACTCTGAGCTCTCTCTGGCAAATTCACAGTTGCTCGGAGCACTTGCTCCGTTCTGGCTTCAACCCGGAGACGTGCACAAAAATAGATTAGACATTAAAAAAACATGATCGAGCGCACTCGGCGGGTGGAGTTGCTAGAACATGTCTCTAGCGTTCTCGGAAAATGTAAGAGGTGGCCTTGTTTTCAACCTCAGTTGACTGAACAGGCAGCAGAGTTTGGGAGAGGCAGGAGGGAGAGAGGAGGGGGTCCCACCCCAGTGGCAGCTCCAGCTACCTGCCAAAACTTTCTGAGAACCAGTGGTGGGTTGCTATCAGTTCGCCCCGGATCATGCGAACTGGTAGCAGCGGCGGTGGGAGGCTCCGCCCACCCACCCGCATGTCTCTGCGCATGTGCAGAAGTGTTGCGCGCATGTGCGAGCGTGCGAGTGCCCACGAGCAAACCAGTAGTGACAGGATTTGAATCCCACTACTGCTGAGAACCCAACACAGATGGCCAACATCACCCTGAGGGTTTCTGTCCCCACAAGTCTGAATCAGCCAAGGGACAACTGAGGTCGGTTTGGAAGCAACTTGGAAAGGGAAGCGGGAATGGCCTTGGGGAACTGGTAGAAGAGGAAAACTCCTTAGACAAGAGCAATAACAATAGCAATAACATTTAGGCTTATGTGCCACCCTGTAGCACAGGGATGTCAAACTCGCTTTCGTTGAGGGCCGCATCAGGGTTGTGTTTGACCTCAGGGGCCGAAGTGGGCATGGCCAGCTTGACGTCACTCGTATCGGGGGCACCTGTGGCAGCCCAAGTGCTCTGCCAGCAAAAACAAGTTCCCGAGCTCCGTTTTCGGTTGCGACGGCCTTTTGTAACCCTCTGCCAGCGAAAACAGAGCTCGGGAGAGCTGCCTGCGGCCCTCCCGTGCTCCGGTTTTGCTGGCAGAGGCACTGCGGGCTGGTCCTTCACTGTTTCCAGGACAGCCCCATGGGCCAAATCTAAATATCCCATCGGCCCGGTTCTGCCCCCCTAGGCCTCGAGTTTGATACCCCTGCCGTAGCACTTTAAAACACTCCCTGGCCAGTTTACAATGTAGAAGTGCCTTTCCCCCAACAATTTGGCTCCTCATTTTACCGACCTCGGAAAGATGGAAGGTTGAGTCAATCTTGGGCCCCATCAGGATCAAACTCCAGGTTGTGGCCAGAGTTTTGTCTGCAATGCTGGACTTTAACCACTGCGCCACCACAGCTCTTCTAGGAAGAGGGGCACCGAGAGTCCCTAAGGGTCACTAAAAAACCTTCTTCATTCTCACGAAGATAAAGGGAGGAGGGAAGCCCATTCAGATTTGCAAGATTTACTACAAGTGTTCTTTGACGTACAACATCTGCAGTCACGTGGCTACAATCTGTGACCTTTTTTTGCTGGTTTCTAGCAACTACTTCCTGTTTCCAGCAAAAAATGCCCAAGGGAGTGGGGGGGAATGGATTCCATTAATAACTGCAACATTCACTTAACAAGTGTTGCAAAAACAGCTTTAAATTCAAATCTGGTCATTCGATGACTTAGGGCCGTAATTCCAGGCTGAATGAGAGTCAAGGCTGACATGTACTATTTTTTTTTTTAATTAGATTTATATGCCGCCCTTCTCCGGAGACTCAGGGCGGCTTACGATGCATTAAGCAATAGCCTTCATCCTTTTTGTATATATTTATACAAAGTCAGCTTATTGCCCCCACAACTGGGTCCTCAATTTACCTACCTTAGAAAGGATGGAAGGCTGAGTCAACCTTGAGCCTGGGGAGATTCGAACTAGCAGTAATTGCAGACAGCTGAATGTTAATAACAGGCTTTTAGTCTGTTGAGCTACCCAGGCTCCTTTTATTTTACAATAAAAGTGATCTGACCTGCATGATATTGGATTCCTAGTTTGATCTCCCTGAAGGGTTGAATGACCACGGAGATGTTTCCCTAAAGAGTCAGGAATGGTGCTAAACTGGCACATTCTGGGAAGATTTGACCAAGGAGAGATTCAACCTGGAAATAAGGAGAAATTTTCTGACAGTGAGAACCATCAACCGATGGAACAGAAGCTGCCTTCGGAAGTTGTGGGAGCTTCATCACTTGAGACTTTCAAGAAGAGGCTGGACTGCCGTCTGTCAGAAATGGTGTAGGGCAGTGATGGGTAACCTTTTTGGCGTCGCGTGTCAAAAGCGGGGGGAGCGCGGGGCGGTCGTGCGCATGCGTGCCCACACCCCTAATTCAATGCCCCCCGCGCCCCTGCAC